TGTACATCTGCAACATCTGGGGGGGAAAGATAGATGGAAAGTGTGTGTGTGTGTGTGTGTGTGTGTGTACATCTGCAACATCTGGGGGGGAAAGATAGATGGAAAGTGTGTGTGTGTGTGTGTGTGTGTACATCTGCAACATCTGGGGGGGAAAGATAGATGGAAAGTGTGTGTGTGTGTGTGTGTGTGTGTGTGTGTGTGTGCCTGCTGGGTCTGGGAAGCTCCGAGTTTTATTCCTGGGAAAAAACTCCAGAAAAACTCACGAGCTGCAAAAGGGTTTTTTGTTTTTTTTTTATCCTCTTGAGGTCCAGCTCCTTGCGCGCTCCATCGCGGTGCTGGATGCACCCCGTGTGTGGACCCAGAGCGGGGTCTAGGCCTTTGGCCCTCCTCTCCCCACCTCCAGCTAGGGATGCCATTCCTCCCCCCCTTTCAAACCCCCCCAGGCCTACTGTCCCCCTTAGCCCCATAAGCCCCCCCCGGCCCTCTTTTCGTGGCCGCCTCCGAGACGGAGAGAACCTTTGCCCCAAGACGACACAAGGAACACTCTGTAGATGAGCAGAGGCACCCTTCCCCTCCAGCAGGTGTGTGTGTGTGTGTGTGTTTGTGTGTGTGTGTATGCCTCACCTTCAGGCTCCCCCAGGCGTCCCATGGGCACCATGGCGGCGAACTAGGGGAGGGAAAGGAAAGGAAATCAGCCAGCATTCCCCCCCCTCCCCAGATGTCTCTGCCCCCCCCTTCCCACCCCAATCGGCTCCTGCAGGAGACGCTGACCTTATCCAGGACTTTGGGGGGGACCTTGTCCGTCATGGGGGTCCGGATAAACCCCGGCAGAACCGTGTTGCAACGGATGCCGTACCTGGGAGGAGGGGGGGGAAAGAAATGGACCACTGGGGTGCACCAGCTTCTCTCAAGGCCGCCCCCCGCCCAGTTTGCCCAGTTCACCCAACGCCCGGCCCCGATTTAACGCCCTCGTCTCTCCCACCAAGAAGGTGGGTCCTTCTTAAAGCAGGCCCCGTGGCGTACATCAGGGGGTCTTCCAACGTGGCCCTTGGAGGACGTGTGGACTTCAACTCCCAGAATTCCTCAGCCAGGCGTGCCTGGCTGAGGAATTCTGGGAGTTGAAGTCCACACGTCCTCCAAGGGCCACGTTGGAAGACCCCCCTGATGTAGAATACCAAGCCAGCATCAGGGTCCCCAAAATGTGTCCCCCTGTAAGACTTGTGGACTCCCAACTCCCAGAATCCCTCAGCCAGCGTGGCTGCCTGGGGAATTCTGGGAGTTGAAGTCCACACGTCATCAACGGGCCAAGCGGGAAGACCCCCTGGCGTACGGCTTACGACGGCACCGGGAAAAGGGACCCGTGACCGTTTTTCGTACTTACGACCGTCGCGGCCTCACGCGATTTACCTTCGGACGCTTGGCCACTGACCACTACTTACGTCCCGGAGTCACGCGATCCCCTTTCGCGACCGCCCCGGCGAGCAAAAGTCAGCGGGGGACGCCGGACTGGTTGAACGACCGTGCTAGGGCCCGATCCCTCCCCAACCCCCCCCCCTCACCTGGCTAGCTCCTTGGCTGCGGTCTTGGCCAGGGCCTCCACCCCCGCCTTGGAAGCCGCGTAGTTCGCCTGGCCCAGATTCCCCACCTGGCCGGGGCGGAGAGAGAGAGAGAGAAGGTGGGGAGGGGGCTCGCCCGGCAGAGGGGAGGGGGCCAGGGGCCAAGCCTCCTTCCCCCCCCCAGCCCTGCCGGGGTCCCCCCGCGGGGAGTGACGGCCCACGCACCTTGCCCACCACGCTGCCCAGGTGGATGATGGAGCCCTCGCTGGCCCCGCTCTCCACCAGCGCCCGGGCCACGGCCTGCGTCACCAGGAAGGCGCCCTGCGTGAGGGGGGGGGGGAGATAGAAAGATAGAGAGATGAAGAGAGAGAGAAAGATAGATAGAGATAGAGATAGAATGAGAGAGACCAAGAGAGAGAATGAGAGACCCAGAATGAGAGAATGTGTAAGAGAGAATGAGAGACCCAGAGCGAATGTGTGTATGTGTGTGTGAGAGAGAGATGGAGAGATAAAGAGATAGAGATATAAAGGATAAAGAGAAAGATAAAAGAGATAAAGATAGAGATGGAGAGAGAGAGAGAGAGAGAGATAAA